TGTGTGTGTGTGTGTGTGTGTGTGTGTGTGTGTGTGTGTGTGTGTGTGTGTGTGTGTGTGTGTGTGTGCGCGTGCGTGCATGCTCACACATGTACACTCATACACATATATCCCAGGTTGGAAACTCCTAGTCTGGGGTGATCTATAATGGTCAGTGCCTTTTTCCATGTGACTGAGTCCAAGTTGGATAAAGGAGGAGCCTGTTTCCTAGTATAAGCTAAATGACTACCTCAGAGTGGCAAAAAGCAGCAGTGGGGCACACATTTAGGTCCCATTAAAACTCTCTGCTCTGCCTAATTGCCAGAGCTGGTTACAAGCTGAGTGGATGGGGTTTGAGTCTTGGGGTGTTCTGAGGTTCAACAGGGTCATGGGCTGGCTGCATCCAAGGAGATTGAAAGAAAAGACTTCCCAGCTTAGGCTTTCTGTGCAAACAGAATGCAAGAAAGATGCATTCACCTGGCAGGGCTGTGAGAGTCTTCAAAGGTGGGGAAGGTGGGATGGCTGCTTGTTAGTTGGGAAGCAAAGTGGAGATCAGATCTAAGGTGGGTGCCATGTCAGCGGGTAGAGCCAGAGTTGTTACTAGTGTCATTGAGAAGTTATGTCATAAGCAACAAAAAATAAAATAAAAAAGGGACAGGGAGAATTTAGCAGTGGCTGGTTGCTATGCAGGGGTTAAAAGAAAAGAACTAGTCAAATAATGGCAAACAGAAAAGGCCTAGTATTGCCACCAAAGTCATCAACATCCCATTGAAACCTCCTGTGATACAGACACTTGGCTAGGACACTTGACTAGAATGGTGTAGTTGGGGATGATCCTTCCGTGAGCAGAGGGTTGGACTAGATAACTATTAGGGCCCTTCTAACTCTCCTGTTCTATGATTTGATGAATGCAATGGCTTAGTACTGGGCCCACTGTGCATTCATTCTATCCCTTTATATGATATACTGTCTCAATTTCAACACATCAGGCATGGAGTTATCTACCAACTGCAATCATATGGCTGGGTCACAGTATCCTGGCATGACTTCCTACATTCAGCTAAGCACTCTTCCGTTATGTGCTCAGATGCCATAGTGATGGGTATAATATAGTATAGCTACCCAAACAACTCTTCAGGGGAAGCCCTTCCAGGACTGCTAGATACCCTGATACAGTAAGTACTACCCAAATTTTAAGATCAAAAAAATATTTATGGCGTGTGGGGGGGAGGGGTTGTTGTTTGTTTGGTTTTTCATTTTGTTTTTTACTAAAGTGCAGCATTGAAATCGCTTTATGGGTTTTTTAGACACTTGACTACTCCCTTGGAGAGTAACCCCCCAGTTGCTGTGACACCTAAAACCAGCATCTGCTCCTGACACTTAAAACCAGTATCCATTCCCCATTTGACTGCTAAAACCAGGATTTCCAAAGGGGATTTAAGAGTTAGCTGTCCAAATCCCTTTGACTTTAAAAAGCATATGGGTGCCCAACTCCCTTACACTCCTTTGAAAAATCCCAGGCCTGGGTCACATCATTTCCTGTGCATGCTTTACCAGATTCAGTCATGAAATTGCTCAAGTGAGCAACTTGGAAATCCTGCTGCTCAGTGAACAGGAATCAGCTTGACTGCTCTTTTCATTCTTCTTAGTGCTAAAAATGTGTTGTTAATTGCAAAAGCGATACAACTAAAAGTGCTAATGGGAGATTATTCTAGCTTTAAAATGTCAATGTGCTTGATGGAGTTTTATTCAGGAGCAAATGCCTCAATTAATTTTTTCTAACATCTGTTTACAGTAAAGTACAAGAAGAATTGAACCTTGTATCAGCAGTCTAGAATGACTGGAAAACTTGGAGCTTTTTTCTCCCAAAGGCAGCTCTTTTACGGCTGCCTGTAACCTATTAACCACATCAGTGGGCTCACAGAAGGCTTATAGAAGAGCAGGAGCCAGAGGACAACACTGACTGGCTCTAGTCATAAAGAAAGTCAGCTTCCTATCTTAGGCTCAGCTGTCACTTCTGAAGGCGCAACATATGGGAAGCTAAAGCTCATGCTGAACAACTAGGAAGGTGGAAGACTGAGCAACTAAAGAGCTTAACAAGACCATCTCCCCCCACAATGGAAACAAGATTGTTCAGGCATTTATTATACTGTTAAGGTGGGTAATGTAGCTTCTTAAGTAAATCCATCTATTTTGTGGATCAAGTCATGTTACATGAACCAGAAACCAGAGCGCAGTGACACTATTCTGCTGGAGTTGCTGAGGATTTGTTTAATTTGCAGTGGAGAATGTAAGCTGCCACTACCGTGCTTGGGATATAGATACAGCAAGCTGTGCAATGCAAGGGTCATATTCTGCCACCCATCCTTACACTGAGTGATGTGTTATTCTGCATACAATCACACTGATATCAGATGGTCATTCTGGGACTTCTTGCAAAGCTAGCAGTCTTCCACAACCCAAGGAGCAACACTGTAGTCTAACAGTGTTCAGCATCAGATTTCCTCTCATCTGTTCACTCCTTAACACAAGAGAGGCTAAACCGTGCAGGTAGTAAGTATAAGGGCTAAAAGAGGCAATGAATGCTATGAAAGTGCATATGCTATGAAGCAACCTTGGTTTCCGTTCTCAGGGTCAGATGGCTAAAGCACCAAAGAGTTGTACAAAAGGGGCAGGCAAGTATCCTCCCTGACACACAAGCACCCTCAGGTGGTGAAGACAGTTGTTCACCATCTGCTGTTCCTGCCACCACCTCCCCCCACACTGGAGTTAGGAGAACTAAGGAAAGAGGGCTGAACAGTGCACAGTTCCCATCACTGAAACTCCTGTTGCTGGCATAACTTAGAGCAGCTGATAACAGTTTTCTGGCCAATCCAGGATCAAGGGGGACAAAGTTGGCTTAAAGAGAAGTTTCTTCCCAGCCCTATTGTTTTCAGTTCTTCTAGGTGCACTGGAGAATGTAATCATCGTTGGAGGGGGTGATTCGGAGATGAGGAGCACTGACTTGATAGGCTAGAACAGGTCAGCAACCCCTGGCACGCAAGGCCATTTTGCTCAGCACACCACCACCAGCCTGGGCTCTAGTCAGCTGCTGCCAGCCACAGAGCCCAGGCTGCTCCCAGCAGGCGGCTGGGAGGCTGCAAGCCCTGGGGCATGCAGACCAGGCTCTGTGGGCTGGCTGCAGCTGGGAGACTGCAAACAGCTGCTCAGAGCTCTGACATGTCGGCACTCCGGCACTTTCCAAGGTAGACGCTGTGGGGGTTTTTCAGCACTCCAACCAAAAAACATTGCCTACCCCTGGGCTAGAACCACCCGCTATGCTGAGTGTTGACACTGCAGTCCAAGGCTGTGTCTGCAGTTTATGCAGACACACCTGAGCTAGCTTTAAACTAGCTAGTGCAGGTACTGATGACCATGTTCAGCACAGCATTTGGATGCAAAACAAGCCCATGACCCTGAGTGAATTGCTAGGCTGGAAACAGTGCTGCCACAGTCACATGCTTTTCAGTCCGTGAGTTTAAAGCTAACTTGGCCTTGCCTGTGTGAGCTGCAGTAATGGCTCTGGGCTACATGAAGACAGGCCCTTTGTCAAGCAAGCCTGGAGAAGTCACAACCTCTATGTTCCTCTCTCTAACCCTCTCCTTTAGTCCTCATCCTTAAATGAGGAGAATTGTACTTAAGGCATGGACAGCTTTGGATTGATTGATGCCAGAAGTGCAAAGTATTACTGTTATTATATCAATGTGGTCAAATCAATGCTGTGCTTGGGCCTCAAAGCTCATGAGCCTGGAGCCAGCATATTGCATCAATCAGAGAGATAGATGTGGGGCAGCCAGAAAGTTGAGAACCAGATAGAACAAGTCCAGGTATATTTGCATCTTGGGATTTGTATCCATCTGTCTCCAGTCTGGATGTGGACAGAGAACTACTGATTTTTTTTTTCCATATCCCCTCAGCACTTACAAGGCTTATGGGGCCTAGTTTTGACATGTGTAGGTACATTCAGTAGCACCTCGTTGAATGCCTAGGTACGAGTAGGGTGTTACTTGGTGGGATGCTAGAATCTGCCTCTACAATAAGCTAGTGGCAAGACCAATGGGGATATTTATTGGGAAGTTTAGGATGGTCATTGGCAGCCACACAATTCATCAGAGGAGAGCGCTGATCTTATGACAAAAAGAAATACTTTCCTATTTTGCCCTTGAGACACTATGGAGCTCTAATGAACCGCGTGCTGTAGAACATGGCATTATCTTTGATAGCGCTCAGTCAGGGTTATAATACTACGTAATATAGGAACCTGGAATGGAAATGATGTTCCTATAATGGAGAAAAGGGCCATTATAGCAAATTTTTTTTAATCTTCACTTTCTGCTGGGAAAATAATTTACAAACCTTGATCTTTTCCCTTTGCCAAGTGTTTTTGCTTGTAACAACGTTCACAAAATAAAAAAACCCCACAGGGATGTGGCTTGCATATTACATGTTTTGGGCATACGTTTCACTTGAGAACTCCAGGATGTTACACTACAATTGCCTCGTGAATGCTTTGTATTTGCCTGTTTTGTATTTGTGTTGGGGCTACATTTTTAAAGAAGGCTTTTAGTTGTAGCATAATAGGAATAAATATTAAGCTCATAGTTACTACCTTCTGTGACTGAAGAATGTACACCGGTTGTTGTTACCACATGCTCTAAAATAGGTGTTGATGTTTAAAATTCACTTAAAAGCCAACTGTTACAGAGACAGCCAGACTCAAGGAAGCATTCAAGTGTAGAGCTGCCTAAAAATACGGGAATCTGGACTGAAGCTGGTGACGTTAGCACAGATGTCTATATGTTTGCAGCAATGATAATTAGACAGCAGTAGTATATTTTCAAAGTAATGCTCTTTCTTGCTGCTCCAGTCCTCTGGAGGTGAATGTATAATATATAATAGCATTGGTCTAACTTATTGCAAGCAACATAGTCAAGCAATTTGCCCTGATGCATCGTCTTTATGCCCTGTTCAGGTGAAATGCTTAAATGCCTGTCCTTAAGCACTGGAGTCTTTCCCCTGAAGTCAGGAAAGGGGTGGGGGCACAGTCTGGGGATTAAAGCACTGATTTGAGGCTTAGAAGGTCTTGGTTTGGTGTGTGGCCCTGCCACAGATTTCCTTTGTGACTGTGAACAAGTCATTAAACTTCTTCAGTTTGATAGAGGTGTCAAATAGGGATGTGCAAAGTGGTCCCTATTCAATTCAGATTTGGTTTTGGCCCAAATCAGGGACAGTGATTTGATCTGTTGATTCGGATCGCTGTCCCCAATTCAATTCAGCGAATCCAAATCTGACGATTCGATGTTATTTCGGTGAATCAGCGATTCGGGCATAGACACAGCTTTAAAAGTTTTTTTTCTACATACCTCGAGGTACCAGCTGTGACTCGTGATCGCTGTGATGTTGGGGCAGATGGAGCGTCCCACAGCAGTGCGGGGGACTCTCCAGCGTACTCAGCAGCAGACCCATAAGTGGACCAGAAGTACTTCTGGTCCCCTTCCAGGTCTGCCGCCCCCCCCCCCCAACTGGCCACAGGGGGACCCTGGGTGCCTGCCCCAACCCAGGACCAGGCACTGAGCCAGGGGGCCAGGGGGGCCTCCCAGCATGCTCCCTGGTGGACATGGAAGAGCTTCTTGTCCACTTCCGGGTCTGCTGCCGAATGCACTGGAGACCCCCCCGTGCTTCTCTGGGACACTCCATGCACCTCCGCATCGCAGCATTCACAAGCCCCTGCTACCTAGGGGTACGTAGAAAAAACACTTAAAGCTGTCTCTGTCCGAATCACCGAATCTGTCCAAATCTCACTGAATCGATTCAAAGACATTAAAGGATTCTCTGATTTGATTCAGATTGAGATATTAGGCCACCGAATCGAGCCAAATCTCTGCCAAATCAAATCGGGAACCAAATCTTCACACAGTCCTAGTGTCAAACTACTTTAGATCTAAGGCCAAATCGAGACCAGGAAGACCACTTCCAGCAGCAGGGAGAGAGGCAGCATTAATCACCACAGTTCCCTGAGCTACAGGGATTATATATCCATTTTATATATCCATTCCTTACCTGGCACCTAACATGGGGGCTCCTTGTCTCTCGACTCTTTGTCTTCAAAATGAGTTAAAGATACCAGCTCTTAAAGGAGGGGCTCAGTCGCTGGCAGAAATGAAAGTTCATGATTAAGCTACTCCTGCTACTGCTTCTGTTTAATAAGGGAAAAACTGGCTTGGGCTAGATGCAAAATGGTAAGAAAATATTCCATGTACTCACCAGAACTGTGTATTGAACTACGAAGCTCAATGAGAAATCACAATCCTCTGCTGTTTCTCATCTCATCAGAAGCATTTATGTTTGGTATTGAGTATTATGAGCATGGAGCTGTGTATTGAGAGTCTGTAGACTGCTGTATAAATGCAGAAGTAAGCATACCCTGGGGATGGATTTGACTTGAACTCTCTTTTGAGTACCATCTATAAAGAATTCTATAGTAAGCTACTGGTTTTTCCTAATCCTAAATCATTCCTTCCACTGGGCATTTCAAGAGGCAAAGCTAGTTGTCAGTGATAAAGGGCCCTCGTACCCTTTGAAATGTTTGTAGCATTTCTGCTTCAAATTGGTAGATGAATCAGTTGGGATGAAATAAGAATTGACTCAAACCTTTCTCTGTCCCTAGAACTAAAGTGGATTCCAACCTTTTTCTGATGTTTTTTTAACTTGTTTCGTGTTTCCTCTTTGTTCCCATCAGAAATGGGCCAGCCCTCCCCAAAGCTTGTGAATGTTTTGATGCAGTGTTTTGTTTGGCTTGCATCAAATTGTAGGACTAGAAACAGATGTTGTAAATTCCTAGGGAAGAGACTCTTCTTGTGGGATTTCCAACCTGCCTGGAAGCACAAAGTGTTGGAAAGAGCACAATAAACCCTGTTCCTCATTCAATTTCCAAGTTTGTTTTTGAAAACCAAATGGATTCAAGTAACTTGGATAAAGGTTATAAGTAGCATCCAAATGCAAAGGGAGAGACTTAATCAGTCACACATGAGGAAAAGCATGTGACACAGCTTCACCCACCCTCAGATGAACCTTTGGGTTCCTTAGCTATTTACAAAATCAATTCAAGGTCCTCTTGTCCCAGCCTAGCTTAGAAACATTGTCTCACCTGGCTTCCCTGACTCCTACTCCAAGCTCTCTCAGCCTCTTCGTTCTGAGCAAAGTGAATGCATGTAGTGCCTTCTCCTGTGTCGCATGGTCCATTGCCAACACCCCTTCCTTTATCACTGTCCTCTTATTTTTAGCTGGAAGCATATTTTCCTTCTTTGTCTGGGATTTTTGACTTCTCCCTCTATTTTCTATTTAATTCTGTAAAGTACTTTGTGGTATGGTTTGCATGAACGGCTTCAGAGAAGCTGCTGTGCTGCCTCCTCTAAGCTACAGCCTCCTCCATCTCAGTATGCCGTTCCTCAGCAGACCAGTTTGGAGATGGAGCTCAGCTGGTACAGTTGTTCTATATATGTTTACAACACTGCTAAGGCTGCCTGATGTATTGGCCATTTTTATCCCTCACTTTTCCACAAGTTGGTGCCAACAGTGATTCTAGTGATTGACTGGCTCAGCTTGTTCCATGGTAATTTCAATCCATTTGGAGAGCTGAAAATTGTCAGTTGCTACCATTGTAGCTTTTCTCCGTCTGCAAGTCATTATCAATTTATATTAATTAAGATAATGTATAACAAATTGCTGTGTTTTCTCATATTTTGCAGATCACAAACAGCTTCTCAAAAGCTAATGACAGATACTGCACAGCAATGACTAGGAGGGGAAAACACTTTGCTCATGGAATTAGTGTTAGAGAGTTCACAAGAGGACACATGGAAGAAAGACCACAGGGGAAAGAAAGAAACAAGGAAAAAAGAAAGTGTAAGCCTCATCTAATACTGCTGCTTCAATTTAAAATAGCTAAGTAAGGCTAGGAACAGATGCTGTAATGGTTCCTGTACAAAGTGTGCCTGCATTTGTCCTGAAACAGAAATATCCTGGGATTGGCATGAATTTTACACATCACCCTTCTAATCAGCGTTTACTGATTGGCTGAATGCATCATGGCTTTTCCGCCATTGAGTCAATGATGTAATCCCAAGATAACCATTCAGGCTCACCACTTTACAATGTCCTGGGAAAGTATTAGTACTACTTATCCCATGAACCTTTGTAGGATTTATACTGACACAATGGACACAAACATCTGAATGATCGCACTTTGTCCCAGAATAAAATGGCTTATCCCAGGACAAATGTGACTTCTGTTTGTAGCCTAAAACACTTCAGTGATATCCAAAGGAGCTGTGAAAGGAGGGTTCATTTCTGACTGTATCTTCTGCAAGATATTTTTGCTATCTCCCTTGTTCATTGGGAAGCAATTTCCAAAGCAAGAGAAAAACCACACATGCCAAAATGCTATTCTTCATTAGCTTTCACACAGACAGTTAGTGTGAAGAGGAATGTAACACATGCTCTGGTAATAATTTCATTAGCATTGAGTCCCTGCCTATTAGCAAACAGAATCCACACCGAGTTTACTTACCCTTCTGACAACTGCACATAAAATTAACAGCTCCCATAATAAGACTATCTGAGTTTGAGGGAAGACTTTGCACCACCACAGCACCTTACCACTAGCAAATCACTCTTTCACTCTCTTTCCTGGAAACAAGACTGTGTTCCTTTCCATCAGATGAGACGTTGGTATAGGCAAAGCCCAAAGCTTACTAATGCAGATCATAAGTCAGCCCATGGTTACTGACAAGACCAGAAATAATGCCCCTTTGCATATTAGCTGGTACAACTGACTATTGGTGGACTTAGTACCTTTCCATCAATGGTAGCCACCATTTCACTGTCATGATGAGTTTTCTCATCCTGAGGATCTCCTGAGTCACTAGTATCTCTGTTATGTAACATTTATAGCTGGGAGCATGGTGTAGGCTGAGCTGCATATTTAATCCTCAGTGCAGGGATTACAATGGACAGTTAATGTTTCTGATTAAAAATAAGATTTTAAAATACCCCCCCATGAATCTCTCAAAAAATTATGTAATGATCATACTCATACATCTTTGTGCAAAGCCATAATTCCATTTCTCTGTGGTTTTTTCCTGAACAGGGAAGGGAACACAAACCAGCTGCCAATAAACAAATGAAAATATATTTTTAAAAGATCTGCCTAATAAGATCTGATTGACAGTGTCTGCTTAAGAGAGTAAGCGGGCTGAAACATTAGCACTGAGCTCCACGGGCAGCAAGGCATGGGAGGAATTACGGAAAGCGTAGACTGGCAGCCTGCACTGTGTGCCCCTGGTCTCACAGTCAGAAGCACTGAAACTGGATTAAATCAACAAAAACATGGGAGAGGAGAGACAGAGGAAAGTCTGTCATTGAAAATGAGGGGAAAATGACATTTAAAAAAAATATTAGTCCAACATCCCAATTAGTTCAGCATGTAATTTAGACCAACTGGAACAAATGTACACTGAAATTAGTGACATTACAGCATGTAATTATGAATAGGAACCATCACACCTGAAATCCAACTGTCCCTTCACCAATATTAGAGATGCTGCAAGAGTTATTTATCAGGGTGATGTAATGTCCTGCAAAGATTCCCTCCCCTTTCCTGATTTACAATAGAGGAATATTTGAGAGAGAGAGTTTTGCATAGGGAACTTCTTGGGTTGTGCTTGAAAAGCTGTATGTAAAGCAGGATCTATATTAAGCCTCACTTTGCAGTGGAAAGCACGTGAACAGCCTGATGCCACATTGATTCTGGGACTCTGCATGGACACAGCAGCTGGCATGTGTATAGGAGGTGTAGGATTAATTAGCATTAACCAGTTCTAGGTAGACCTCCAGCAGCACATTGTGTAGGTGATAAAAATATTCTCAAACTCTAGTCTTCAGAGAATTCACTGGCAGTTTCAATAAAGGTGGTTGGGCATGTGGTACTGCCTGGATCCTGTTTTTACGCTTATCTGATAAATAATATTGGCAGAGCAGACATGTCCTCTGAGGGCCACAGGATGGAGTACCTGAGTGAAGCTACATGTGGGCTACACCCCAACATGGATAGAATATAGCTGTGTTGGTGGTACTGGATGCATGCCGATAAACACTCCTAAGAGAGCAAGCTTATTACCATTTCCCTAGTGCTGCCCTCACGCTGTTTAGGGGTATAGCACATGTGGAGTAGGCATGGCTGCTTCACTGTGGTCCTCCCTAGCATGGTTCTTTGACAGGCCCTAATTGCAGTAGCTCTCTAATAGTTGAAAATGTCTGCTCCAGGGAATTCAGAAGCTGAAATAGTGAGCGTGGGAGAGAAACACCTTTCTTAATATTACTTTTCTGTGAAGGTATTTGATGCATTTTCTACAGGGTAGTATGGGTAGGAGAGATGTTGATCTGTCTAATCATGAAAGTGAGGGTTCATCAATAGGATGGCTTATTCATTATTTGCTTTACTGTAGTGCTTAAAAGTCCTGTTCATGGAGCAATCCCCACCCCCCTAAAAAAATGGTCCCGATGTAAGGAACACACACTGTAGGTGTAAGGCAATAAACAACAAGCAAATAAATGGAGTCCAGTGTTAACCCTCTCATGGTCAACATGGCAGCAAGTGGCTGCAGCAGACAAACAGGCTAACTGTTGTAGGGACTGTGAATGCTGCGTGTCCCTGGAGGCTGGGGGCGGTGGAGGCAGCAGTGGGAGCATGGCAGCGGTAAGTGGGGAGCTCCCACAGGCAGCTGCAATGCTGTCAGCATCAGGGCAGAGGGGTGGTGAGTGCCGACAGGCGGTTGGCAACCACCCGCAGATGCTGCTGGCAGTATCAATGGCAGCCAGCGGCAATCACAGATGCCACCAGTGGTGTCAGGGGCAAGGGTGGGGCGGCAATGAGCGGCGACCACCTGCAGGTGCCATCAGCAGTGCCTTTTCACAGGGGGTGCACGGCCATGCTCAGGGGGTACACATGCACCCCGTATGCATCACCAATGGTAGGGAACATAGCAGAGGGAGAATCTGAAGTAACTTGCTATTGCCCACAAATTACTTTTGAGAGGGAGTGTATGTTTCACTGGAGGTGAAGGCACCCAGTCCCTGCTTTGCAACAAAGATATCATTAAATATGAAAGTTCAACATGATGAAAAAGTTTGAGACTAAAAAAAACACAGCATCTCAGTAAGCTAATAGGGATGCAATAGCATGGTAGGGAATGAAAACTAAATGGTGTGTGTGACTGAGTCAGAGTGGGCTGTCCTCCTTCCCCCTAACACACACATACGCCAGTACTTGCTATGCAGGGTGTCCATCGTCTGTGGGATGGGAGTTGTGGCACCAGTCTCCATGGGGTAGAATGGCTCACAGCAGACCTTACAAATTCTGCAAGCCACTGTCACTTGAACGATTTATGTTGCCATGACTACATGGTGAAATGTCAACCTGTTCCTCTGTCAGAGAAGTCAAAAGAGCTATTTTAAAAGAAGGGGGAGGAGGGGAGAGAGAGCCAAAGAGAAATGGAGCCCAGGTCAAAGATAAATCAAAGAATGCAATGGCAAAGGGTCCAGACACTTTGGCAGTACTTGGAAAGCAAAGACAATCGAAATAGGTTGAGGTATGGAAAATAACTCTCAGCTGTGGTGCCCCACCAGAGAAAATAGTTTGGTGCTGACCAGTGAGCACAGCCATTAGTATGGAGATGGTATTGTTTCAGCATGATGCAGGTAAAGTCAGAAGCCAGCTCAGCTACAGTCACATCACCAGGGTCATCGGAGCATTCAAGGCTGCCGTTAGTGTCAGACACTCAAAGCTCCACCCAATTTTTCCAAGCTAAAAACTACAAACTTCATGGCAAAGTCTCTTCCTAGGGTTTCTAGTGAGGGAAGCACAGGATTACCTGATGTGGCAGTTACTAGGGCTGTGCGAAGCAGGCCCTATTCGATTCAGATTCAGCCCAAAACAGGGACAGTGATTCGATTAGTTGATTCAGATCACTGTCCCTGATTCGATTTGGCCTAATCCAAACCTGAAGATTCAATGCTGATTCGGAGAATCAGCGATTTGGACACAGACACAGCTTTAAAAGTTTTTTCTACGTACCTTGAGGTAGCAGGCACGACTCATGATCGCTGCTATGCTGGGGCGCATGGAGTGTCCAACAGGAGTGTGAGGGGCCCTCCACGTGCTCGGTCCACTTCTGGGACTGCTGCTGAGCGTGCTGGGGAGCCCCCCCATGCTTCTGTGGGACACTCCATGCACCCCAGCATCATTGCACTCATGAGCCACCTGGTACCTAGAGGTATGTAAAACAAACATTTAAAGCTGTGTCTATGTCCGAATCTCCAAATCTTTCCAAATCTCTCAGAATCAATTCGGAGGATTCCAGTTCCATTTGGAGAGATTAAAGGGTCCTCTGATTCAATTTGGATTCAGAGATTCAGCCACCGTATCGGGCCAAATCTCCACTGCATCAAATCAGGGACTGAAGCTTCACACAGCCCTAGCAGTTACACCTATCCTGGAAGCAGAATTTGGTGTTGTAGCTGTGGATTACGTCAAAGAAAAAAAAAGATTGGTAATAAGATGATTGCTGCTATTGCATGACACTTAGATTTTTTGCAAAGACTTTAAAATACTGGAATGTAAAAGAAGTTGCAAGTCTAGCAGCATGTTATAAAATAATAAGCTTGCAGTAGGAGTATAGTGAAAGATACAGGAAAAGGCTTAGGCCTGGGAAAGAATATACCACATTTACTTGCATATATACTTTCCCCCCAAAATTAGCCCTTCAAAATTGGGGTGCATATCTTAGGTGGGGAAGCTGATTTTTCTTCACTGGAGTAGAAGCAGGATAGAGTAGAGCATGCAATATGCTTCATGACTGCCAAGGTAACTGCTGTTTCTCTATGGAGCTGCAGAGATCACGGATGGAGTCCAGTATTAACCCTCTCAGTGACTGATGAGGCAGTGGCTTTTGGCTGAATAGCCAGTGAGCCAGCTGAGTGAGCTGCTGCATGCAGTCTGTAGTATGTTGATGACGGTTGTGGTATGTAAACAACACTATTATTTTCAGGAACTTATATAAAGAACTATTTACAGTAAAGAAGTAACAGTCTTGCTACTGCCCTGGCAAGGGTCAGGGCCTTGATTTGCTGTGGTCCTACCACACCTAGAAGTTCCTGCTGCCTCAGCCAGACTGTCTCCTGGGACTCCACACATCCTGGACCTATTTCCAAGTAGACTATGTCCCACATGTAGACTCTGTGTTGCACAGTTGGCTATTACTTTGGACAATTCTTTCTTATATTCTTCCGTCTAAAAACAAGATGCCCAGCTTATTTTGGGGCTTGTGGTATATGAGCAAATGTGATATTTCCTGTGATGAGGGTACAGTGGGAAAGCTGAGGCAAGCCAGGGCCATATCCATGGGGATTAAAGCGTTGTTGGTAAATTCAGGTGTTCGTTTTTAACCTGCACTTTGTTATGGGGAGCAGAGAGCTAATAGGTATGCTTCTGGGAAGCCAACAAAAAGGTGGGCTACAAATAAATGGGCAGATAGTGAGCCAGAAAGATTGCTTATTTTCCCTATTGCTAACAATTTTCCTTTCTGCTCCAGTTAGACCCTTCACGTGGGGACTTTAAGACACAATGCCAAAGAAAAGAAAAAGGTGGCTTAAATATACATTAAATTGAGGTCCTGTACTGAACAAAAGCCTTGCTACTAAACCTGTCTCTATAGGCTAATATTCCCAATGCTTTATTTATCCAGGCTTTCTTCTTCAAGTTGTAATGAGCCACCTGTCTTCTGCTACCAGAACCAACAGCAGGAAGGGAAGAGATGACAGATGCATTGTTTTGATCATTCTTCAACTGGCATTTTTAGGTTGTATGCCATCCACAGTATCCCAGCGCCACTGGCCAAAGCAATGATGGGCAACTAGAGTTAGGGTAAAGTGTCTTTAATATGATTGGGTTTGGTTTGTGAGTCAAAAGTTG